GCAGCTGCTGCCTGCGGTCGCTCTGAGGATCCCCCGGAGCTGTTTGACCCGCGCGTTTCGGCGTGTCGAGCGCCGAGGCGCAGTCGATGGACCCGCAGCAGCGGTTGCTGCTCGAGCGGGGCTACGAGTCGCTGCGCGGCGCAGGCCTCGAGCGGGCGGCCCTGGCGGACACGGCGTTCGGCGTCTTTGTGGCGATCGCGAGCGTGGACTTCAATTTGCTGATGAACGCGTCGCCGGCGGGCGGGAGCGTGTACGCCGCGACGGGGAGCGCGCACTCGATCGCTTCAGGCCGGCTTTCCTACGTGCTCGGCCTGCAGGGCCCGTGCGTCTCGTACGACACGGCGTGCTCCGCCGCGCTGGTGGCGTGCCACGCCGGCTTGCGGGCGACGCAGCTGCGCGAGAGCATCGGCAGCCTCGTAGCGGGCGTCAGCTTGATGCTGCTGCCGAACTTGGGCACGAGCTTCGCTGTGGCTGGCATGCTGTCAGCGCGCGGCCGGTGCCACACCTTCGACGCTCGGGCCGACGGCTACGCGCGCGGCGAGGCGTGCTGCGCGCTCACGCTGCGCACGACGGGCGTGGAGGCGTGCACGCTCGCGGTGCGAGGCGGCTGCGTGCGGCAGGACGGGAAGAGCGCGAGCCTGACCGCGCCGAACGGGCGAGCCCAGCACGCGCTGCTCGACGCGACTCTGGTGGACGCGGCCCTGCCGTGCGAGGACCTGTCGATGTGGGAGGCGCACGGCACGGGCACGGCGCTGGGCGACCCGATCGAGATGCGCTCGCTCGCCGCGGCGGTGCTGACGTACCTCGGCGACGAGTGCGCGTTGCCCACCGGGAGCGTCAAGGCCAACGCCGGCCACGGCGAGCCGGCGGCGGGCGGCTCCGGGCTGCTGCGGCTGGCCGTCGGTCTTGGCGGCGGCGTCGCGTCGCCGAACGCGCAGCTACGCACGGTCAACCCGCACATTGCGGCGGTCTTTGAGGGCGCGCCGACCGCGTCGCTCCCGTCGCAGCACTCGCCTTTCCTCCAGGTGGGCGGTGGCGCGGCGGCGACAGGGGCGGTGAGCTCCTTCGGCTACAGCGGGACGATCGCGTCGTGCGTGCTTTCCTGCAGCCGTGTCGTCGTCGCTCGCGCGCCGCCTCCTCGCACACGCTTTTGCAGGATCCGTTTCCCCTGGCGGGCTTTGGATCCGGTCGTGTCTCCCCTCGGTCTGCCGACCGAGCTCGACGGTGTCCGAGTCTGGCAGCGGAGCATGTCGCCTGTCGAATTCCACTACCAGCGCGGGCACCAGATCGGCTACGTGCCGTTGATTGCTGGAACGAGCTACATCGCGCTCGCACGAGAGGTGATGGCGACCTACCGCGCTGCTCCCTTCCGCATCAGCGACTCCAAGTTCCACACGTTCTTCTTCCTGGACGATGAGACCAAGGCGGACGCGTTGCAGCAGATCTCCTACCACGCAGAGACGGGCAACATTCTCATCGAGTCGAACGTCGATAGTGCCGCGACTGTGCACGCGGAGCTTCGAGCGAGCTTCTTCGAGCCAGCCGCTATCGATGCCCTGGACACTGCCAGCGCCATCAGACGCTGCTCCCGGCAGGTCGATGCCGCAGAGTTTTACGCCAGCATCGGCAACAACTACCAGGGCGAGTTCCGCACGATGACTAGCAGCTGGGTTGGGGAGAACGAGGTGATCGCCCAAATCGCCTTCCCCAATCACAAGACCGCCGCCTTCCTACGTGGCTGTGCCTGGCTGGACGCTTGCAACCAGCCTGGCGTGCTGCTCACGCAGAAGGACCCCTCTGCGAGCCAGTGCCTGCCAGACCACATGATAGGGCGGCCATACTTCGCGGCCCGCATCGCATCCTACGAGGTGCTGAGCACAAACTTGAAGCAGACCCGCGTGATGTGGGGCTATCACTATGCTCCAGAAGGCGAGCCGGCTCTGATGCGAGCGTACAACGCCAGCGGCAAGTGCGTCGTGCAGATCCACGGTGGCGAGATGGGCGAGCTCGCGCCGGGCTTCCTGGAGTCGCGGCGAGCGCAACGCCACATCTACGAGGTGCAGTGGGCCGATGAGGTCAAGGGCGGCGCTTGCCACGAAGAGATTGGCCAGCCTGCTCTCTGGATGTCGAGGGCGCCACAGGGCCGCCCGGGTCAGGCCGTTCAGGCTCCGCTGTCGCCGAGAGCCGACATGCTCGTCACCGCACAACCATGCGTCGGCGCCAGCGCGATCGACTCTCTCGCTGCATTGGAGGCCGATGGGCGCATCGTCTCCAGCCACCTGGAGACGAGCTGGCAGGGTCTGTGGGTCGTCTCGCAGCTCCCCGACACCCAGGGCCTGATTCGCTCCGTCAAGCTCGAGTCGCCAGCTCCCTCCTTGGGATGCCTCTTGCTCGACGCGCCGGCCGACGCTTCTGATTCGGCCACTCTGAGCGCGACCCTGCGCGGTCTCAGCTTGGACGCAGGCACGGGTGACTGGAGGCTGCGCGGGTCAGCGGTACAGTCGCCCAGGCTTGTGCGAAAATCTGCGCGCAACGCCAGGTCGACCGAGGCTGCGCCGGACGCTCCGCAGAGCGGCTCTAGCGATCTGATTGTCGGCGGCACGGGTGGCCTTGGGCTCCTCACAATGAAGTGGCTTGCGCAGACTGGATCGAAGTCCTTGGTCCTTGCGTCGCGTAGCGGCTGCCTTGCGTCAGAACCCCCAGTACTCCCGAGTGAGTGCAGGGCGGCGGTCGCTCGCTGCGACGCGTCGGAGCCTGCCGACGTGCGCCGTCTCGTGGGCGTGCGGGATTGGCGCGGCGTGTGGCACGCGGCGGGCGTGCTGTCGGACGGGCTGCTGCGCTCGCAGACGGCGGCGTCGCTGCGCCGCGTGTACGCGCCCAAGGCGGGCGGCGCGTGGTGCCTGCAGAGCGCGTGCGCCGCTGCGCCGCTCGACTCGTTCGTGCTCTTCTCGTCGATGGCTGCCCTGTTTGGCGCGGGCCAGTCGAACTACAGCGCGGCCAACTGCTGCCTCGACGCGCTGTCGGCTCGGCGGCGCGGCGACGGGCTGGCGGCGTCGAGCGTGCAGTGGGGCCCGTGGGCGGACGTGGGTATGGCGGCGGGCAGCGCGGTGAGTGCACGCTTACAGGCGTCTGGCCTACGGCAGATCAGCTTGCAGGAGGGGGCGGCCGGTCTGGTCGCGGCGCTCAGCGCTCGCGAGCCGGCCGTGTTTGCGCTGTTTCTCACCGATTGGGATCGGTTCTTGGAGTCTCTACCCGCCGTCCCACTGCTGCTTGACAGGTTCAAGCCCGCCGCCACCGCTCGTGGTGCAAGCTCGACATGACCAACCAGCTTCCGATGGAGCAAGTACTGCGAATTGCGCAGGGAGTCGCGGGGGCTGAGCTCGACCCGGACAAGCCTCTCATGGAAGCGGGCTTGGACTCACTCGGCGCCGTCGAGCTGCGCAACCAGCTGCAGCGCGCAGCCGGCGATGGGTTGGAGCTGCCGTCGACTTTCATTTTCGACGCGCCGACCGTCCGCGCCATCTCTGCGCTGGTGCAGGCGCCGGAGGAGAACCCGGGCTCTGAGTTGGGCCTCGCGCCGCCAGTGATGACCTCGTCATCACAGACGCTGGTCGGGAGCAGCGTTCGCCTACCGGCGGGCGTTGCTACGCAGCACACATTTTCACTGGTCCTTGCTTCTTGCGGAGACGTCGCTGCCGAGGTCCCGCTGGAACGGTGGGACGTGGGAAGCGCTGTCGCCGACGCGGTCGCTGGCGGACTGGACGATGTGGTGTGCAGCCGGATGAGGTACGGAGCTTTCCTCCGCCAGGCTGACCTCTTCGACGCATCCGCCTTCTCTGTCTCGAAGAGCGAGGCGTTTGCCATGGACCCACAGCAGCGCCTGTGCCTCGAGCACGGCTACGCGGCTTTGCACGCCGCAGGGCTTCTGCGCGCCTCGCTCCTGGGCCGGGAGACCGGAGTCTTCCTGGCGCTCTCGTGCCAAGACTTCTCGAGGGTGCTCCTCCAGTCGGACGCGTGGCGCTCCGTCTACGCTGCCACCGGCAGCAGCCAGTCCGTAGCAGCTGGGAGGCTCTCCTTCGCGCTTGGCATGCAGGGACCTTGCACGCAAGTCGACACCGCCTGCTCCGCAGGGCTGACGGCCACCAATCTGGCGTGCGGCACTCTGCAGCTCGGCGAGTGCCGCGAGGCGGTGGTCCTGGCGGTCAACGTGATGCTCGTGACCGACGTCCACCAGGCGTTCGCGATCGCGGGCATGACATCGCCTCGAGGCAAGTGCCACACCTTCGACGAGAGGGCGGATGGCTACGTGCGCGCTGACTCTTGCGGCGCGGCGGTCTTCGAGCCGCAAGACGAGGGCCAGAGGAGCCGATGCGCGGTCGCTGGCGTGACTGTCCGCTGCGATGGACGGAGTGCTAGCCTCACCGCCCCGAACGGTCAGGCGCAGTGCCGTCTGATCAGCGCGGCGATAGCGCGGGCGGGGGTGCGCGCTGCGGACGTGCAAGTGGAGGAGGCACACGGGACGGGAACCGCGCTGGGCGACCCGATCGAGATGCGGAGTCTATCGACGAGCGTCTTTGTTCCTGCCGCCAAGGAGGGCGCGGCACAGACGACTGTCGGGAGCCTCAAGGCCAACGCGGGCCACGCCGAGCCTGGCGCTGGATTCAGCGGGTTTCAGGCGTTGGTGCTTGCATTGCAAGGCTCCGCGACGTCGCCGAACGCGCAGCTCCGGAGAGTGAACCCCCACGTCCACGATGTGCTCTCCATCGTGCCTTGCGGACTACCCACGGCACCAAGCAACGTGGGTCACGGGCAGTCGGGTCTTATGTACGGTGCAGTCTCCTCCTTTGGCTACAGCGGCACCATCGTCCACGCCGTCCTCTCGTGCTCGGCCCGCGCGGGCGAGCCGGCGCGGCCGCCGTCCGCTCCGGGCTTGGTCTACCGCAGGCAGCGCTTCTCGTGGCAGGACGAGCTGCACCCGCTGGCGCAGCAGCCGGGCCGCGCCGGCGAGGCCCACCTCTTCCGCTCGCCGGCCCGGGGCCGGCTAGTTGCCCTCATGGCCGACCACGTCGTGCAAGGCCGCGTCATCTTCCCCGCGGCCGGCTACCTCGAGCTGGCGCGGGCCGCATGCCAGGCGAGCACGCTTTACGCGGGCAGCCGTGCGTGCCATCTGCGCCGCGTCCTCTTCATGCAGCCCTGCGTGGTGGAGCCGGCTGCCGACCAGCACATCGAGTGCGAGGTGTCGGGTGCGCTCGACAGTCTTGAGATTCGCAGCGGCGCGGGCGCCGCCCTCGCCGAGCGGATGGTGCATTGCGCGGCGTCACCCTCGGGTGGCGGGGCGGGAGGCGCGGCGGGCGCGCGGTCGCTCGCCGCGCCAGCGCAGCGCGCGTGCTGCCCGCACGCCGCCGATGCAGCTCGGATCTACGGCGACTTCCGCGCCGTTGGGCTCGAGTACGGCCGCGCCTTCCAGACGCTCGCTCAGGGCTGGGCGTCGGCTCTCTCGGGCACGGCGATCGCGTCTCTGCGCCCCCGACGCAAGGCGTGCCTCGAGGGCACTCTCCTCCACCCCGCGGACCTTGACGGCGCGCTGCAGGCCTCGATTCTGATGGAGCGCGAGCGCTCGAGCGAGACTCGACTCCCCTTCTCGGTGGCAGAGGCGGCGCTCAGCGGCTTGCACGGCAACATGGTCGCGATGCTGAGCCGGCGAGGCGCCTCCACGGCTGACGTCGTCCTGTCTGGCCTCGGGAAGGCGACGAGGCTCGACCACTTCGAGAGCCGTGTGCTCAAGAAGGGCGCCGCCGGCAAGGCTGCCTCGGCCGCCGGCAAGGCTGCCCCGGCCGCCGACTGGTCCTACGCGTGCGAGTGGGCTCCGGTGGCCTCCGCCGCGGCCGATCCGAGCCAGGAGGCCCGCGTCTTGCTCGTGGGCGACCGGCGCGGCACGCTGGCCGCGGCGCTCGGGCGGAGCATCGCTCGGCGCGCGGAGAGCGGGTCCGCCTCGGAGCTGCGCGAGGCCGGCGCTCTCGATGGCGTCGTCCTCGTCGCGCCGCCCCGGGCTGCGGCCGCGCTGGGCAGCATCGCGTCGGCGCTGACCATCGTGCAGTGGCAGATGGACCTGCCCGCCGCTGTGCCGGTGTGGGTCTGCACGCACCTGACCCAGCCCGTCGCCTCCGTGCGGCGGAGCTCGAGCGAGCACGCCGGTCTGTGGGGATTTGCGCGTGCGTGTCTGCAAGAGGCAGCCGGGCTGCCGCTGTACAACCTGGACCTCGACTTCGGGTGCGCGCAGTCGCTGCGTGGCGCGGCCGAGCTCGTGCGCTCGCGCGCGCTGGCATCCGAGGACGGGTTCGTCCACGGCTTGCGAGTGGGACCCGCCGCCGAGAACGAGGCCGCGCTCCGCGGCGGCTCGATGCACGTTCGCCGGCTGACCTTGCGGAGATCGCCGGCGGCGTTGCAGTCGATCGTCCTGACTTGCGAGCCCCGCGGCTCATTCGCGAACCTCAAGCTCGAGCCTCGGGGCGACCACTCGTCCCGCGATGGCAACGAGGTGGCGCCCACCGAGGTCAGCATCGCCGTGCATGCGGTCGGCCTCAACTTCCGGGATGTCCTGGATGCGTTGGGTGAACTTCCGTCGGAGTACCTTGGCACGCTTGGTTCCGACTGCGCTGGCATGGTGGAGCACGCGGGCTCGCAGGTCGCTCACATTGCTCAGCGCGACGCTTGCTTCGGTCAGGCGAAGAATTGCCTCGCATCGCATGTGTGCTGCGACGGGCGATTGCAGGTGCGCAAGCCGAGCGCGGTGAGCTTTGAGGCCGCGACCACTCTGATCAGCACCTGGTGCACTGTGCACGTGGCGTTCGTCCGGTCCCGGCTCGTCGGCTCGCGGCGGCTGCTCGTGCACGCTACGGCCGGCGGCGTTGGCCTGGCGGCTTCGGAGTACGCCGCGTGGCTTCGCCTCCGGCTCTTTGGCACCGCGGGCGCCCCGCGCAAGCACCACCTCCTGCGGTGCTGCGGCGTGCGCTCGACTGCGAGCTCTCGCCAAGCTGCCTCGTGCGGGCATTCGCTCGCATCGCAGCTTGGCGGGCGGCGCCTGGACGGCGTGCTCAACAGCCTGTCCGCGGACTTCATCTCCACCTCCTTCGCGCTCCTTGCGCCGGCCGGCCGGTTCGAAGAGATCGGGAAGCGCTCCGTGTGGAGCGTTGCGCGAGCCGCCGCCGCCGTGCCGAGCGCCTATTCCGTCCTCGACATGGCGCTCGACGTCCCCGCCGACCCTGACTGGTACTCTGCAGAGGTGCTGCAGGTCCTCGCGCGGCGGCTCGAGGCGGTTGTGGTCCACGGCCTCCCGCTCCGCAGCTTCGGCATCGAGCGCGAGGCACGAGACGCGTTCCGGTTCCTCTCGGGCGGCGCAAACCTCGGCAAGGTGGTGATCACGATACCTGTCCGGTTGGGTGCGCCAAGCTCGTTGGCGGTGGCGTTTGCGCCGCTCTGCGAGCTGCTTGATGCCCACGTGTCGGACGCGGTGCGCGCGCTCGAGGAATTGCCGCAGGTGACGGACGCCCACGAGGTGCTTGAGAGGGCTGTGAGGCACGACATCGCCCGCGCCCTGAGCGGTTTGGACCCTTCTGCCATCCCCAAGTGGCACCACCGGCTGCTACATGAGTGGTGCGCCGCCATCGAGCCGCCCACAGAGCCCGCATCGTACGAAGACGTGCTCGCAGTGTCGCCGCGGCTCTGGCCTGAGGTTGGCGTGACTCAACGATGTGCCTCCCAGCTCGCCGCCGCCCTCCTCGGCACCGTCGCCTACCAGGAGCTCCTCTTCCCGGGAGGGTCGATGGAGCTGACGCTGCCCGTGTACGAGGACGCCGTCAACGCTCGCTTCTACAACGAGTGCGTGGTGGCCGCGGTCGACTCCATCATTGCCAGCCTGCCAGCCGGCCGCTTCTTGAGCGTCGTCGAGGTTGGCGCCGGCACGGGCGGCACGGCATCGAGCGTGCTGCCGCGGCTGCGTCGGGTGTGCGAGCAGTACATGTTCACCGACGTGTCGGAGGTCTTCCTCAACCAGGCGCAGCGGCGCTTTGCCGAGTACGCCGGCTTCATGCGCTTTGAGCTGCTCAACATCGACGCCGACTCGCGCCTCCAGGGCTTCGCCTCGGGATCGTTCGACCTCGCCATCGCCACCAACGTGCTGCACGCGAACTACGCCTCGTAGGAACTGGTTTGATGGTAAT